TTGCGATGTGTCTCCTGGTTCACGCTCTGAGCTGAGTGGGTCTGATCGAATCCAAACCTTCAGCCTCAGTCTACCTCCTTGGGACGGTGAGGAATCAGCATTCGGCTCCGGGGAACGCCTGGGATGGAGGCTCCAGAGGCTGCGGTTGGAGCCGGGAGCTGGATCAGGGCGTCCTAGGAAGAACCCAGGGGAGCACCCCGCTCTGGTCTTTGAGGAGAGGGGAGGAGACAAGGGGCACCGCATCAAACAGGCAGGGGGCCCAGACGGCAAGAGTCCTGCAGCGTGAAGTTGCTAACTGCGCTTTAATAACAGTCAGAAGGGCAGAAGAGGCCAGTGTTCACACAGAGCGGGCCGCCCACTCGGCATCCGGCAGCGCTCTGCCGGGCCTCGCCACGTTCCCTAGGCTCGCTGGCTGCTTTTCTTCCCCGTTTTTTCATCTGTGACATCTGCTCGGTGCTTGTCCCTCCTGTGATACCGTACCCCTCGCAGCTGTGCAGACCTCCAGCTCTGTGCCGGTGCAGGGAGTGCCCTGAGCATACGGCCTTTTTGATGTGTGATAAAACAGAACCGAGCCACAGGGGTACGGCGAGCGAAGGCATCAGAATATCAATTAACCTGCTCTGAACAAAGCTGCAGCTCCAGAGTGGAACAGACATTTCACTGAAGTGTCAGGAAGATGGATGATGTATTCTAATTAGGGACTGACTGCTCTCTCCGCATCCAGCCGTTCCTGGAAGTCAGAACCGCGACCCTCGCGATGCACCTCACCAGCGTCCCATCCCGGCATGGGACGCTACTGACTGATCGGTGACTCCTTGCTTTGCCAGAATTTGCAGCCATTAGCTTGCTCTCAACCAGAAGTGCTGTTTCCCCTTGAAAGTGTGGTCCATTTTGCCACTGGGCAGTTGCGTATAACCTCTATATAAAGTCAAGAGCTCTGGGAAGGAAGATCTTTGGCAGGCGCTAAGCCTGGGGCTCCCATCTTGAGGATGCTCCAGGACCCACACTCCGTGACGCAGAGGCCGTGGTCACTGTGCCCTTCCTTCCCAAGCGGACTGATGTGGGGATGAAGGGTCTCCACAGCTGCACCAGTGGGGTGGGGTTGCTGCCCTAAGAGGTCCTCCAGGGCCCTCGTTTCTTTGCACCTGGGTGATGGCACCGTCTCCCTGAGTCTGAAAGAGTAACCCAGAGAGCAGGTGGCCTGGGATTCGCTTCGAGCGCCCCCCACGCACCTTCTCTTCTCTTTCCTTAAATTTCACATCCAAACCAGAATGATGCACCAATGAGGCCAGTTAATTAGGGAGATGTTCCTCATTTTGCTGCACTTTTCCTGTGTAATTGGAAGGCCCGCTTTCTCCAGTCGGTGAGAGCTGTTCCCCTGAATACTTCTAAAAGCTTTGGACCACATACTGATACCAGCTGCAAATTTATGGGCAAGATTATAATGATTGCTCAGTAATGCAATATTAAAAGCGGAGGCCTTTCTCAGTGCTGAGTGAAGGCGGGGTTCCAACCTTCTTTCAGCTTCAAAAAGGGATTCGAAACAGAATTACCAGCCCTTGTCCTAGAAGAAGCAGTCAGGGGGCTCCGACTCCCTCCCCTCCAAATAAGGAAAAAATAAAGGGGTCTGAATGTAGCCAAAGTTCAGAACATTTGGGTTCGGCTTCCAGAACTGTAAGTGGGGGAGCTCTCAGACCCTGTGCTTCCTGATTCCTGGAGGGGTGCGCACATCTGTAGGTGTCTGCTCTTTGTAAGAGCTGCAGCCAGCGCTTGGCTGCCTATAACAAGGACTTGAGGGAGCAAAAGGCTGTTAAAAAATTTTTTTTGCAGTTTTGCTTCATTAGTTCTAGAATCCAGGGGCTCCGTGGCTGCGCGTTCTCCTGCATAATTTAAGGAATTAATGAAAGCGTGCCTGATTTTTCCAATACCCTTTACTCTGTAAATTTGTTGAGCTTTTTTTTTTTTAACTGTCAGTTGAGGCTGTTGGAACCTAAATATTTTAATATTGAAGAAATGTGCTCCCCCCGTTTTTTTTTTTTTTAAAAAGAAAGACATTCCTTGCCCTCAACCACACGGTGTTCTGTACATCAGGTATTAGGAGTTATGGGTGACCTTGGGTCTCAGCTCACCCTATCAGTCCATCCTCTGACCTTACGGCAGACAAGTTCTTACAATGACTGAGAGCAGGGGGCCCCTTCTGGGAGCCCGCATCAGAAACCTGGGCTTCTACTTGGGGCTGTCTGACCCCGCCTCACCGCAGAATGGAGACCTGAGGGGGACACGTAGTTTTCCGAGGCAGGAGCCCGCTGTGTCCCCCTTTGCCTGGCAAAGTAATAAAGCTATCCTTTTCTACTGCAGCCAAAAAAAAAAAAAAAAAAAAGAATGGAGACCTGAGACAATTTGCAGCTTTATTTCACTCTTCCAAAGCTCACTTTATCTACTTTATCTGACCATCAGGTTGAAGGCGTTAGTGTATATGTGTATAACTCTAGGCTCATAGGATTTGAAAGGACTTTAGAAATTGTTGAATGTGAATATTGCTGAGGTACATTAAAAAGAAAACAGCGTAAGCAAATGGGAAGATCATGGTTTTTGGGGTTTTTTTGTGGTCTTCTTTGGCCGCACAGCTTGTGGGATCTTAGTTCCGAGACCAGGGGTCAAACCCGGGTCCCCGGCAGGGAGAGCGCCAAGTCCTAACCACTGGACAGCCAGGAGATTCCCAGGAAGGTAATAATGTTGACTTGATATTGTAAAAATGTCCATCCTCCACAAATTACTCTATACATTTAATGTCATTCCCAACCTTGTAGAATTTATATTTTGGAACTTGACAAAATAGTTTTCTGCCTACTTGGAGGAACAAAGTTTTGAAAAAAATAAAAAGAAGGAGGAGCATCTCCTATTAGACAGAACAATAAACTACAAAACAGCGAGAATTCAGATGGTGTGAGGATGGCGCAAGAGTCTACGGGCAGAAAGATGTCAGAGCCAACATCATATCAGCATGTAGCTGTGACTAAAAAAAAGGTGACATTCAGAGGGGAGAGGACAGGCTATTTCATAGATGACCGTGGGACAGTTGGAGATCCACAAAGAAACAGATGAGATCAAGGCTCACATCATTTTCAAAATAAAATGTGGCTCTTTTAAATATTTCAGTGTAAAGAGTAAACCGTTAAGAGAACTCAGCTTAAATGCAAGTGAACACGTATCAGCTTTTGCAGTGGCAAGGGCCTTTTTATACATCCACACAACACCAGAATCCAAAGAGGAAAGCGCTGATTGATTTGGCCAAAAACTTGTGTGTCAGAAACAACACCATACACAAAACACAAACTGTGGAAAATGTTGGCAACATCATTTTTCTCAGAGTCTGTGGTAGCAGTTGCCAAAACGCGTTAAGATTCTTAATATGTAAAGAGCTCTTGTAAACAAATGAGGACCAAACCCCAAGGGCAGAGTGAATGGACGGCATGAATGGACATTTTGGAAAAGAAAAAAATTCAAATAGCCAATACACATATGGAAAAAATACTGAACCTCCTTAGTGATCAGAGAGATGTAAATTAAAGCAGCTACCGTGTACTCTAGTTTGCTGGACAGATTTTCCCCCAGGATAAAGCCTGACATTGACAAAGATGCAGGGAAGCAGGTGATCTGCCATTGGATTCAGAAACCGGTGGGCAATTTTGAAACTGATGTGGCAAAATGTGTCGAAAGTTATAAAAGAAGGTATCAACTTTTAGAACTTCATCAGGATATTCTGTGTACCTCAAGATGTACATATAGCACTTCTTAAACGATAGTTTTTGTTTGTTTGTTTTTCGGCCGCAGGCTGCGCAGCATGTAGGATCTTAGTTCTCCCACCAGGGATCGATCCCGCACCCCCTGCAGTGGAAGCACGGAGTCTTAACCCCTGGACCACCAGGGAAGTCCCTAAATAATAGTTTTTGTGTTTTTTTTATAATGGAATGAAACTAAATGAGCAGCAGTATGTGATTCATTAGCACTTGGCAGGTCAATTCATGCAACGCCTGGCAGCTATGAAAACTCCCAGGAGAGGAGCATTCTGTGACATGGGAAATATGCATGAAACGTCCTCACTATGTGAAAAGAACAGACTGCAAAATAGTATGTGCAGTGTGACTTTTCTCCCGCCCCCCCCCCCCGCCAGCCAGGAGAATAGATAATCTCTATGTGAAGCCTGGAAGGAGATACACCTAAGTGTTAACGGTGGCTAGTTTGGGTCGGTGGTGTTACCAGTGACTAGCATTATTCTTTCAGCTCTTTAGTGTTCCCACAGAGTGTACAACAATCATATATGACTCCCACAATTGGACTTAAAGGGTTAATGAAAATAAATCTTCTAAACCAGCTCCCCAGCTGAGCCAAGAAGATGCCTGAGGGATTTCAGCCCTATAACGAGTTCACTTGGGAACAGAAACTTGAACTCGGGCCTCTTAATGCTCTGTTCGGGACTTGTTCTTAAGAAAAGTGGGTTTTTGTTTTGCCCTTGGTGGTTCCTTTTCTCTCACATCTGAGAAACTCCCTTTAGGAAATAATCCGAAATGTGGAAAGAGCTGTAGCACAGAGATGTTCTCACGGTGTTATTGGTAACGGTGCGAACGCGCGGCAGGTGAGGCGTTTGGTCGTGGGGCGCGGCTCAGCGCGTGAGGCAACTCACTCGGTGGAATGTTATATGGCCAGCGAGGAGGTGGGCCGACAGGAAAAATACGGTGGTGGTTATAACGCGGGATGGAAAAAGTCAGGACAGAAAATACGTATGGTGTGACTATCATTTTAAACGTAAGATTCAGAAGGGGATGTGATATTATGAGAGGAGTTGTTAAGTGAGGTGAGGCGGCTGTCAGGAACGTTTATTTTCTCTGACCTTAAAAGTTCCAGTCTTTCTATAAAGGTATGATGTTCCTTTTATAGTAGTTCCAAAAAAATCTGGAAAAGTAAACATAGGTGAGCACCTTTTCACATTCTCTGCCTAGGGCTGGATTCTGGATGGCATCCCTGAAACTCGGGAGCAGGCCCTGTTGATCCAGACCCTCGGGGTCTCCCCCAGACATGTCAGTGAGTAGCCCCACCCGCGCCTGGAGAGCCCTCCCCCCAGACCTGCAGCCCCCGCGAGTGAGCGCTCCACTCTGTCAGCGGCTCCCCGGTGCCCAGGCACCATCCACGAAGGGGGTTTGATGGGCCTGTGGCCCAACGGGAAAAAGGAGGACAGCCCGGTCGAATTTTCCACGGAGCTAAATGCATTCGGGGCTTGTTCTGAGAAACGTGAGGTTTTGCTCTGACCCTGGTGATTCCTTGTTTCAGGAATCTCACATCTGAGAAACTCTCTTTAGGAAATAATCCCCAAATGTGGCAAAAGCGTCCTGCACAAATATGTCACTGAAGCCTGTCCTCGGGCGAAGTGTTCAGGCGTGGGCTTCCTCTGTCCTGAGATTGCGTGTTTGTGTTCTGACCTCTCTTTTAAGGCATTGCTGGGGATGGGAGATGGTGGTTGCTCTAATGTCTTTATACAGCAGCAGGTCGGCTGCCCACCACGCCTGGTTTTGCTTCTTTCCTTCTCTACCCAGTCGTGCTGAGCGCTCCAGACGCGGTCCTGATTGAGAGAAATTTGGGGAAGAGAATCGACCCTCAGACAGGAGGTACGGCTGTCTCCACCTTCCCACAACCACCCCGTGGGGTCTCACAGGGAATCCTAGTAAGAGCCCTGCCCACCCCTCACTGAGCACTTACTCTCAGGCTTGGGCAGCAGAAAGGCCCGGGTTTGTGGTCCCTGCCCCTTTCTAGCTGTGTGACATGGGACAAGTCGCCCAGTGTCTCTGAGGCTCAGTTTTCTCACCTGGACTTGAGGATGAAAACGCCGAGCCCTGCCTTGTGATCTGCTCACTGTGAGGATGACATGAGAGCCTGGGGGTGGGAGCCTGGCACAGAAGAAGCGCTCCGAAAGTCACGGCCACCCTTCCCCTCGCGCTGAACATCATCGCCACTTTGTTGTCGTTAATAGCGACGGGGGGCGGGGCGGGCCCGGAGCCAAAGCCGAGCGCGGTGCTGCCGGGGTGCGCGGACGAGCACCGCTGGGACCCGCAGGCTCCGCCCCCAGGTCGGGCGGGCAACTCTAAACGTGCCCCTCTCTCCGGTAGAGATTTATCACACCATCTTCGACTGGCCCCCCGAGTCCGAAATCCAGAACCGACTGATAGCGCCAGCAGGCATCTCGGAAGGGGAGACGGCGCGGAGGCTGCTGGAGTATCACAGGAACATCGTCAGGATCCTCCCCTCGTACCCCAAAATCGTGAAAGTCATCACTGCCGACCAGCCGTGCGTGGACGTCTTCTACCAGGGTAAATCCAGGTGGACCCTCGGCCCCTCTCATCCTGGTGTCACTTCCTCTGGCAGTGATGCCAGTGTCCAGTGTCCAGGGTGTGCCTGTGCGCCCGGGAGTCAAGTCACGGAAGGCCCAAGGTCCCTGCCCAGAAACGAGTCTGGGGTCCCTGGGAGCGTCGTCCTCTGAGACCCTGGGCTAATATTCTATAGCCCGCATGGTCAGCGGACTTGACAGTGACGGGGGGGCGGGGGCGAGGAGAGGTGAGGGCCGGGGTGGGAGGGACATGCAGCAAGAAGTCTTGCCCTGAGGATGAAGGAAGAGGAAGAGAAAATTTATAAATATTCAAACAAACAAACGTACAAACCAAACCCACCAGCGCCACAAACCCCCAAAAACCACAACACAACTCAGGTGTCCTGAGCCCACTGAGGGCAGGGATAGGCAGTTGCATGCCGGGCACGGCCCTGCCGTTGGGAACAGTAACAGATGTTCAGAAATGGGCTGAAAGAGGCCTGTTTGGGGGTCAGGGGTGTGACCATTGAGTCCCGAGACTTTGGAGCCAGGTGACCTCAGCCCCACCACACGTCAGCTCTGCAGTCTGCGGCAACTCTCTTAACCCCTCTGAGCCTCAGTTTCGTCATCCCCAAAATGGGAACAAAAATCCTTCCTTCCTCACGGACTTAGGTGAGGGCTGCAGGAGATCCTGCAACGCAGGTATCTGCAGCCCTGAGCCCAGTAGCTGGTGCAGAGAACGGCTCAGTAAACATCGGACGTTGCTATCATCAGGATTCAACATCCGGTCCCGAAAGACAAGGAAAGTTAGAAGAGTTCTCCCCCAAAGCAGCTGCATTTATCATTTTTATTTTTTTAAAATTTATTCTTTTATTTATTTCATTTTATTTTTATTTTTGGCCACGCTGTGTGGCTTCTGGGGGTCTTAGTTCCCCCACCAGGGATCAAACCCGGGCCCTTGGCAGTGAAAGCGCGGAGTCCTAACCACTGGACCGCCAGGGAATTCCCTCATTTTTTAAAAGTCTTGCCGAGCTTCAGTTGTCTCCACACGCGGTTATCCCCTTCTGTGCGATGCTGGTGCCTGACACAATGAAAATACCTCCGCAGGGACTTTAAGACACTTGATGGTTTACGATGCCCTTTTTTGGTATATTGTCTCAAATCTCTTCAAGAGAAGTTTACTTTTGGTGGGGAGGTTGTTCTGAGCTCCCCGGAGCGGCCCTCCCACCGGCCCCCACCTGCTGGTGGCCTTGTTGTCTGAGCGGCTTTGCTTTACCGAGAGCGAGAGCCGGAGCCGGCACAGCCTCGCTCTCCGAAGGGGGTCGGTGTACGAGGGGGCATGTCTGGAGAGTGATGCTACTTCGAAAGATGCCAGGCTTATGGATGCCTTATAAATTTCCAGTGATTTCGCATCTCGGAAGAGTCTTTAGTAGCAAACACTGCGCTCCGAAGATAAACAACCACAACATTTATCTTATGCCATGATTCTGAATTTACACATTAATTACTTCCAAACTACTTAATTAAATTTAAAAGTTCATACGATCGTTCATAAAGAATTCATGCCTGAAATGGTAAATAAAAATGTGAGTGTCTGAATATTAATTATTATTAATTAATAATGCAGAGAGAGAAATTGAAAATTGGAATGCAAAATTCTCTGTGTTGTTTTTTTTAATATCTCTGCTGTGCATCCAGCAACCACATATTTTTAAAAAGAATAATTAGCTGTTGAGACCGTCTGGGGGATCATTACTTCTAATTAACTTGGTTATTTACTGTAAATTAAGCATCATTTGTAAGCGGGCTGCTTTGCCTGTAGTATTTGTGCTCTTCAGACGGGCTGGATCCTGGAAGGTCTGAGGATAAAGACAGCCTCGCTGTCTTTATCTTTATCTCTTCCTCCGGGTTCGTCTCGCTGATGGAAAGTGTTACCCGTGGCAGTGGGCTTGGGAGAGTTGCCCCAGCCCTGCCAACTGTCTGTAAAATCGGGACAAGGAAAGCACATCCCTCGTGGGACCGTGCACGGATCAGATAAGGTAAGGCTGGTAGAGTTTCGCTTAGCAGCAAGTGCATCCCTGCCGTGAAGATGCTGGTTATCATCTTGACCTTGAAGACAGGTAACTTACCTGCACCTTTAGTTCTAAAACAGAGGGGAATCGTAGCATCTCTAATGACCCTTCCAATCAAAAAATCCTACAAAGATTTGAGAGTTCAAAATTTGCCCAGTGAATATATGTCATTGGTTCTCAATTTTGCCCTCTCGCCACAGCGGGACACGTGGCAATGTCTGGAGACATTTGTGGCTGTCACAGCTAGGGAGCGTGACAGCAGCTGGTGGGCAAAGGCCGGGGAGGTGCCCCGACGTCAAGCACAAGGTTGGAAGACCCTGTACACCTGTCACGGATTTCAAGGTGGTGCCTGGGGACACCTTCCTGTCTTCGGATGGATTCCATCCTGGGTGAGGGGCCAACATGCTGACTTCAGGCAGCCCGGCACCTGCGCAGGATGGTCCGGGGACCCGGGCAGGAGGCGGGGCCGGGGAGGGAGACCCCCTTTGGATGCAAGGGGGACTGAGGAGGAGGTACCCCCGCCCTCTGCCTCAGCGGGCGGGCCGCTCCCCTCACCCAGGTGCCGAGTGGCTGCCCTTAAACAGCCTCCTCAGCCCACTCGTGCCCCCTCCTCTGCCCTCCACTCTCAAGGGAGGTGACCTGGTTTGATGTTCAGTAGCTTTGGGCATCCAGTGCCCCCCACGGTGCATGCGCCTCAGCCCTGTCTCCCTACTTCTTTGTTCCTCAGATGCCAGGGGCACCCTGGGCCAGGGCTACATCTGCCCACTCCCGGGACCCATTTGATCACTGCCTCTTTGGAGACTTGCAATAAAGTTGGTGTCACTGGAGCGCGGCTGCAAATTGTTCTCCACCAATTCCGAAGGCCTTTAGAAGTCCCCGAGTACGAGGCCCCCGCGTGGCCTGTCGTGTTTATCAAAGCCCGTGTCCGAATCTAGGAGGTCGGCCTGGTCCCGGGGCTTCAGGGTGAGGCTCAGCCCGGATTCAATTTGGAAACACCCTAACCCAGTATTCAGTGTGTGTTCTGTGTCCTGGGACCAGCCCCCAACCACACGGCCAGCCGTCCTTTGACCAGGAGGGCAGCACGGCCCCTGTGCTGTGTCAGAGGGATCCAGGGCAGTGCTCTGCTCGGAGGGTGGCTTCTGTGCCTCTCCTTGTCCCCTCCCGCCTCGGTGCCCAGGCCTGAAGGGTAATTCCTTCCCCGCAGCTTCACCCTGTGGTTACCCGGCAGATTCACAGAGGGTTTCCACGGAGCTGTAAAAGAGAGAAATAATTACTGCCGTTAAAAGAGCCCAGGCAGAGGTGTCGTAAGCTGGTTCCCTTTCTTTAGGACCCTGGTTTATTATCCTCACATCCTCTCGTTCCAGCTCTGACCTATGTCCAAACCATCCATCGATCTAACGCCCCGTTCACCCCGAGGGTGCTGCTTTGCGGGCCCGTGGGCAGCGGGAAAAGTCTGCAGGCCGCCCTCCTGGCCGAGAAATACGGCCTCGTCAATGGTGAGTGCCCCGGCGGCCACCCAGCTTCTAGAGCCTCCCCTGCTTCCTGCCCTCCCAGACCTCCCCGTGTTACGGGAGCAGCGAGGAGATCGGCATCACTTCTCTTTCTTGCTCTCTGCTGCGAACAATTTTCATTTAATCCATCTTTGCAGGGATAAGGTTTTTGCCTCCCAAAGAATATGGCCATAAAAACATTAACCAATAAAAACACGCCCGCAGCCCAAAGAGCTGGAACGTTTTCTGGTCATCATTTTTTACGTCCTTTGGCGCAGTGGTTTTTCTGTGCTCTGCCCCTGCAGTCTCCCCAGAAGCCGGAGTTCTTGCATAATGTGGACCTGCTGTTTATTTATTTTCTCCGGTCTTGTTTGGTTCCCCAAACCCAGGTCAGTGTGTTTACAGGCAAACAGTTTCTGAACCGGAGGAAGACTTCTAGCTCAGCACAGTTTCAATAAATATTTTACCAGGAAGAGAGAAAATATTGAAAGTAGTCCTCCAGGTCTTTCCTGGGGTGGTCCCAGATGGTCTTGGATGCCAGCGTGGTTTCAGGAGGATAAAGGGCTGGAAGGGAGGCTGTAGCAGACACACAGCACTGGAGGGAGTTAAAGGCACTGACCCCCTCCCACTTCGGTGCTCCAGAAGCCTCAAAAACCTCTACTTTATTTAAGCAGGAGACATGAGACCTGCACCCCCAAATATAGAAATATGCATGTATATGCCCGCAAATGATACATATACACCATACAGATATACATGTATACTGACATGCACAAATATATACATACCACCCCAGAAAGATCAAGTTTTGAATAAAAGTGCTTTTCAATTAGGTCTCGTCCAGCTTAAAATTCCAAAGCCACTGAGATTCCCAGCCAGGAATCAATGACAAATATCATACCCATAGATTGAAGGTGGAGAACTGAGCAATTACTCTGACTAGTATGGAAAAACCCACTAATAGTTGTATTAGTATTTTAGTGAAAATGCTAAATGGTAGTATTCTGATTTAATTAGTATGGAAAACTCACCTGGATACTTTATGATAAAAAATGCTTTGCTTGTATCAACAGTTTTTTTTTTAATGGACTTATTCAAATAATTCCTTCTCCTTCCGAGTTTTCCTCTTAGGAGTATTATAAGAATAAAATTCCAGCTGTGGTTAGGGATGACTTTGTAAAGAATGAGCCACAGTCTACTTGTGGCCACACCCACATTTATTTAAGTGCCTGCACTTATTGTTATGTGAAGACATATGAAGAGTTACAGTGAGAAGAGCCTTAATGGCAGAGGGAGGGTCTGAAAAACACAACAGCGATACCTTAATATAGTGCACAGCTTAATTTAAATAATTGTCACTGTGCCGAAGTTCGTTTATGCAGACACTCCCATTCAAGAAAAGTATTTTTAAATTTAAATTGTTTTCAGCACACCGATCATAAAGAAATGAAATTACCTGCCTAGATTTTTCCAAAAATGAAAATAGAAAAAGCTCACCATCGTTTTTGCTTTTGTAGCAGAAGAGCCATTTTGGGCCTCTTTTCAATAACTGAGCATTTGGAGACTGGCTCAGAAAGTTGACATTTCTCAAAGGTGTTCTTGAGAAATACAAGACATCATGAGATTTCCGTAAACCTGTTTAGGGGACCTGTGGTCTGCAGAGGCAAGCACTGAGCTGTCCTTTGGGGTCTCTCTGCAGAGGCCTGTCTGCACCCAAAGCTCCAGGAGCTGCCCGCCCAGCCCCCCTACAGCCCGGCCCCCCTGGCCATCCCCTGCCTTGGGTCTTATCTCCACATTTATGAACCTCTCGGTCGTGGGAATACATCTCCAAACAAATAACCAGCATTCACTCCAACAAGGTTTATTGAAAGGCTCCTATCTATAATTGGAGAGTATATAAACAGGCACAACCTTTTGAAAGATAAAGGCCACTACTGATTACCAGGCTAACTGCGCAAATCCGTTGGTCCAGTGATTTCACGCCCAGGGCTTTATTCTGCTGAAACACTCCCCACAGTATTCAACAAGAGATGTGAAGGATGCATAATGAAAAATAAAGGTAACCCCAAACTCTGTTCGCGAGGGGATTAGTTAAAGTAAGCTCTGGGCGGCTATTAAAAAGAAACCTGTAAAGTGACTCGATGTCCGTGAGGTATTGTTATGTCCGGGCGGGGTGGAAAGCAAGTCACTCAACAGTGTTCAGGGAATGGTCTCTTTTTTTTTTTGTAATTTATTTTTGGCTGTGTTGGGTCTTCGTTGCTGCACACGGGCTTTCTCTAGTTGCGGCAAGCGGGGGCTGCTCTTTGTTGCAGTGAGCGGGCTTCTCATTGCGGTGGCTTCTCTTGCTGCGGAGCACGGGCTCTAGGTGCGCGGGCTTCAGTAGTTGTGGCTCGCAGGCTCAGAAGCTGTGGCTCGCGGGCTCTAGAGCGCAGGCTCAGTGGTTGTGGCGCACGGGTTTAGTTGCTGCACGGCCCGTGGGATCTTCCCAGACCAGGGATCGAACCCGTGTCCCCTGCATTGGCAGGCAGATTCTAATCCACTGTGCCACCAGGGAAGCCCGAATGATCTCATTTTTGTTCAAAAAAATGTGTTAATCCGTGTTCAAGAAAACAGCTGAAGGACCAAACTGGTTATCTCTGTAGAATCACATATTACACAGTTCTGACTTTTTTTTTTTCCCTGCACCGAGCATGAATTTTCTGACAAGGAACAACCATGGAGCATTTTATTAAAATACTATTAATTTTACTCACTGAGTGCTTGCTATATGCAGTGCATGTTATTTGGTACACAGATAGGGAACATGTAGAAAGAAGAAGAGAGGCCCTTCAGGATGGAGGTGGGCCCTGCTGGGGGAAGGAATGAGGTGGGGCGGGGCTCCTCCCAACACTGTCCCAGGTCATGTGTGTCTAAAGCCTTAGTACTTGGAACCTCTAGGAAGAGCAGACTGTTAACAGTACTGTCTTCATAGGATCTTGCAGAATGAGGTGGCTATAGACAGGAGTTTTAAACCATTCTTTCCTAATATAAACATTACTGTTACACACTTTTCTCCAAACACTTCTTTAGCTGCATCTCCCAAAATTTTAATGTGTTGTGTTTTATCATTCAGTTCAAAATATTTTCTAATCTCCTTTGTGGTTTCTTTTTTGACCCATGTATTATTTAGAAGTGTATTGCTTACTTCCCAAATATTTGGGAATTTTCCAGATTTTTTTTTCTTTGTTTCTTTAATTCTATTTTGGTCAAAGAACATACCCTATATGATTTCAATCCTTTGAAATGTATTGATACTTTTTATGGACCAGCATATGCTCTCTATTGGTGAATTCCATGTGCACTTGAAAAGAATATGTATCCTGCTTTTGTTGAATATTATGCTCTAAGAATGTCAATGAGGATAAGATGTTTGATGGTGTTGTTCACTTCTTCTGCGTCCTTAATGATTTCTCTCTACTTGTTATTTCAGTAACTGAGAGGTGCGTTAAAATCTCCAACTCTTTAAGTGTGGATTTCTCTATTTCTCTGCCAGTCTTTGCTTCGTGTAATTTGAAGCTATGTTAAGTGGGTATACACTAAGGATCGTTATCTCTTCCTGATGAAATCATCCTTTTATCATTAGGAAATGCTCCTCTACCTCTCCAGTAAATTCTCAAAGTCTACTTTGTCTGATAAGTATATACTCTATTCTTTTTTTTTTAACTATGTGTCTTATATTCTAAATATGTGTCTTGAATACAACATATAATTGCTTTAAAAAAAAATTCAGCCTGACATTTTCTGCCTTTTAATTGTTTAGTCCATTTCCATTTAAAGTAATTTTTTATATGGTTGGTTTCAAGTCTACCATTCTGGGTTTTTTGTCTTCTACTTGTGTTATCTGTTCTTTGTTCCTCCTTTCCTGCCAACTTTTGGATTGATCAAGTATTTTTTCAGTAATCCATTTTATTTCCTCTGTTGCCTTTTTTGGCTATATCTCTTTGCTTTATTTTCTTTGTGGTTGCTCTAAGGGTTAACTGTTATCCATTACTTATCACAGTCTATCTTGAATTAATATTATACCTCTTCATGTATAACACAAGAACCTGACAGCAGTGTACTTCCCTTCACCTTGCTCTAGTTCTTTGTGTAATTGTAGTGATACATTTCACTTCTACATATGTTATGAACCCTACAGTACATTGTAATTATTTTTGCTTTAAACAGTCATTTTTTTAAGTGAACATATGGGGGGAAAGAGCTTTTATATATACTCAGTATCAACACTTTTCACTCCTTTGTTTAGATCTAAGATCCATCTGATATCATTTTCTTTCAACCTAAAGAACTTCCTTTAACATTTCTTGTAGTGCAAGTCTGCTGGTGAAATTCAGCTTTCATCTGTCTGCAAATGTCTTTATTTCACCTTCATTATTGAAGGATGTTTTTGCTGCTTAGAGAAATCTATGTTAAGGTGGTCCCCCCCCACCTTAACACTTTCAAGATGTCATTTCGTTGTTGCATTGATGCATTCCGTTGCATGGCTTCTGATGAGAACTCAGAGATTATTTTTATTTTTTTCCTCCTGTATATAAAGCATCTTACTCCCACCCATAGCTGCTTCTAATATTTTCTGTTTAGTTTTCAGAAATTTAACGATGATGTACCAAAGTGTGATTTACTTTGTGTTTATTTTGCTTGGGCATCAGAATCTTGGATCTGTGGGTTGATATTTTTATCAAATTTTGAAATTCTCCTCCCATTATTTTCTCAGATATTCTCTCTCTCTCTCTCTCTCTCTCCCCCTCCCTCCCCCACCCCCTTTCTGGAACTCCAGGTACATGTATGTCAAACTGTTTGCTATTATCCTCCAACTCCCTGAGGTTTTATTCCTTTTCTTTATTTCCGGTCCCCTCCCCACCTTCTCTTTGCTTCAGTTTGAATGCTTTCTGGTGCCTGTTTTCATGTCTTCAGATTCACTGATGGCAGCCCATCCAGTGATGTTTTCCATTTAAGGTATTGTATTTTCCAGTTCTGGAAATTCCATCTGGTTCTTTTTTATAGTTTCCATTTCTCTGCTGAGATTCTCCATCTTTTCATTCTTTTTAATTATCTTTTAAAGTTTAAACGTTTTCATAATAGACATTTTATAGTTCTTATGTGCAGATTCTGATATCTGTGTGATCTCTGGATCTGATTCTATGGGCTGTTTTCTCTCCTTGTAGGAGGTCACACTTTCCTGGTGGTATTTTTGTTTGTTTGCCTCTCCAGTAGTTTTTTATTATAAGCTGGACATTATGGTTCTCACATTCCTGAGAGTCTGGATTGTGTGATCCTGCTTTGAGAATATCGCATGAAAAAGAATTGAGTTCTAACAGGCGGTTAAATAACTGGAGGACCAACCTGACCCCACTGAGGCTTATTTTTAGTCTTTGTTACTATGGGATTAGGGTGGGATTCCCCTAGGGCTCGTGTATCCCTACACCTGAAGCGTGGCCTTCCTGGAGTCTCAGCTGCATGTCTGGGGTGTTGAGCGAGATCTCTCACTCTGACTGGCAGATGCCACTCAGTTCCCAGCTTCCCCATAGCTTTTGTCTCCCAGGCCCTGTGGAGTCTCCCCTGCACACGTGCAGTTTTGCATTGACTAGTGACTCAAGTAAACCCTCATGCAGATTCCGGAACCCCTCCTGCCCCATTCCCCCCTCCATTATTCTGTCCCACGTGGTCCAGCTGCCTCAGGGCCCCAAACTCCAATCCTTGTTTCCTGCTGCTGTGTTTGGGTTCCACTCCTCCCGAGCCATGGTTTGGAAAGTGCCCATAGGTCGAAATCCAGGGCGAGTGAGGGTCTCACTTTGTGTGTATCCCGTCTCTCAAGGATCACAGCCCATGCCTGTCTTGTCCAGTGCCTGAAAAGAGTTGCCTCTTATATTTTGTTAAGTTTTATGGCTTTTTATGACAGAAGGTGAATCCCTCCTGTCCTGAACTGGAAGCTAAGCCTAGGTTTGATGTCACACGCACCTGGGTGTGAATCCCAGCTCCGCCACTTACTGGCTCCGTGACCTAGAACAGTACGTACAGCGTCTTCAGTTCTCAGTTTCCTTATCTACAAAGCAACAGTTTGTTGTGAGGACTGGACAATACAAAGCAAGCCCAGCATAGTGCTTGGCGTAGCTAGAGGTCTCAGTAGCTGACAGCCTGTATTAGTCCTTACATTTCCCTTAGTGAGCGAAGCTGCCCGCCACTCTGGATACGATCACTGCCATCACACAGTGAATTACCATGTCAGTACGGAAGAATACGTCTTTGGTGGTGGTCATTGTCTTAAACATTCACTTTATGCAGTTAATTTTAGGATTGGTTTTGGTTTCTTTAAGGCAGGAAGTAAAGTCCTTAGCTTTAAAGTTAAGAAAAGTAAGACTGTGCAATTACCAACTCATGAAAACATGGCCGGACCCTTCTGGCTTTGGCTGTTACGGTTTTCATAGCCAAGGAGAGGGCAGCTGTGTTAATTCCTTCCACACTAGTTAACTGGCACGCCCTGTGTGTTGGCCCCGGCTGGGGTCTAGAGACACAGTGGCGCCTGTGACAGGAGGGCACCTGTGTGTCCCTTTGTGATAGAAACTGATGTCTGTGGAGCCGTCACCCCAGGGGGCTATGGAAACACGACGCGTCCCCGCCCTCCCCTGCGTGACAACAGCGTGAACGTGGATGTCACGCAGGTCCACGCGGTTCTCCGCCAGAACGTTCGCTCTCAACGCCCTCCGGGGCTGGGGCCAGCAATCCTGGGTGTCGCCGAGGCCCTGCGGGGCCTTCTCTGGTGGTGACATCCCTTGTTACGTCTTCTCCACACCGTCCATTTTTAATATGTTCTTTGCCAAATGCATTCTTTTTCATTCCGCATCTTCCTCCTTGGCTTCTTTTTTATTCCTTTTTGATACTTACTTTCACTTGGACACACACCCACACTCAGAAAAACCCTTTTATATTTTTTTTCAGTGACCTTTTTTTCTCCCCCCGCAGCAGGCAGCACTGGGGGGGGGGTTCTTTTTTTTCTCATTCTTCCTTCTATTTAAAATTTAACGGGCGTCTTTCTGTTCCTCTCTCCTCTAGTCTGCTGTGGGCAACTGCTCAAAGAGGCCATGGCAGACAAGTCCAAGTACGGCGAGATGATCCGGCCCTTTTTCGAAAAGGAGACCGCAGGTAGGCCACACTTGCCGTGACTGCCACGACCTTCTAGGCTCTGAAGAGAGATTCCTCTGTGTGAGGCTTGCTGGGCACGCGGGGGCCCAAACTGGGGAAAAGAACCGGGGAATGGAAATTGGGCTTTCCGGCAGGCAAAGGCTCTGGTTTTGTTCCCTGGTTGGTCCCCTTGGCTTCCAAGTGAGGGGGAGGGGTCTGTGGACATGATGCATTTCACTGGTGGTGTGGAATGTTCCTGTTTCTCAAGAATGCTTGCTTTCCATAACTGATAACGCTTAAAACTGGGAGCAGGGGGGACTTCCCTGGTGGCGCAGTGGTTAAGAATCCACCTGCCAACTAAGGGGACACGGGTTCGAGCCCTGGTCCGGGAAGATCCCACATACCACGGAGCGACTAAGCCTGTGTGCCACAACTACTGAGCCTGCGCTCTAGAGCCCGCATGCCACAACTACTGAGCCTGCGTGCCACAACTACTGAGCCTGCGCTCTAGAGCCCGTGAGCCACAACTACGGAGCCCGCGTGCCTAGAGCCCGTGCTCCACAACGAAGAGTAGCCCCCAGCTGCCGCCACTAGAGAAAGTCCGCATGCAGCAACGAAGACCTAATGCAGCCAAAAATAAATAAATAAAATAAATTGATAAAACAAAACAAAACAAAAACCTGGGAGCCGGGAGAGGCCATAGTGCCGCCCACCTCATTAATTGGTGTACAGAAAAATACCATCGGGCAAGATTCCAGTTTAATCAGTAGTCAGAAGCTAGAAGGTTCAGAGAGCTTTGCAGATAGGGAGGACTGACCAGCCATTGGTCCTCAGGGGAGGCTGGACCAGATCATCTTTCCAGACCCCTCTGTGACCTATGCTCTGAAAGCATCCCCCAGATCTGACCCCCAGGAAGGGCACCACTGAGACCACTCTCTCCAGTCTCCTGAGTCCACAAAGGAGCCACAGAGAAGGGACCGAGGTACTGAGGACCTCAGAGCCGGTTCACGTCTGGGCTCGTCCCCGGGCAGTGCGTTTCCCACACCCACCTCTTCCACTCTTATGTAAAGGGCTGTAGCTCCTCTGTGCAATCAGTACAGGCTCGTTGTCGAGTCTGATGTGGACAGGTACTTGCTGTGAAGAAAACCGACCCGGAGAGGAGGGGCCGTTGTGATGGGCAGCGCGTGGGTTGTGAGGGTGCCCTCCCCTTCTCCTACCGTTTTCCGGATGGAGTAAGCTGTGACTAGGAGGCGTGGGGCAGGCCGCTTGCTCCTGACCTCAGCCCAAAGAGCCCCCCAGGAAGGATGTCCCGCCCTGGCCCTCCCAAGGCCCTCCTTGAGGCGTTCTCGTCTCCAGGGTGAAGTTCAGGCGAGGCAGCATGGGATCCCTCAGGCACAGTGATCTGCGTGGTGAGACACGATGATCTCGGCAGGCGAGTCTGCTCATTCCTGAGTCACCGGGGTGGTGAATAGGATGATGTGTGAACAGGAGCCCTGGGCGCCAGTGAAAGCCAGTGCCAGCTTTGGTGCTTCCCTGTCCGCTTCAGACCCCGCTGCCCTCCACCCCGGCCACGTAGCCCAGGCCTCCCAGTGGCGAGATGGAGACAGAAACCCCGGGTTGCAGGGTTGCCGTGAGGACAGGCTGGGGTGTGTGCGCCCAGGGGTGGGAGCAGCAAGCAGGGACGGGGGCCTGGCACCCCCTCAAGCACACTTGCCCTCCAGCGAGGCCAGCTTCCCCTTTACTGGGGCAGGGGGGTGGGGAGGTGATGAACACCCCAAAGAACATCTGTTGCATAAATGAGTGAATAGGATAACAAGTTAATAGACTTATGTCATTGCAAACGTTGATGCGTCATATTCCATTGCACAGACTGGAGGGTAATCTGTTTAATTCTCCACGAGAAAGCATTTTGTGGTTCAGAGAGAGAGACGATGACCAAGCAGATGAGGCACTGTTGACAGTGGGTAAATCTCTGACAAGGGGATGCAGAAATTCCTTGACTCTTCTTGCAACTTTCCCGTACTTTTGAATTTTTTTTCAACATAAAAAGTTACGGAAAGTGAATATTCAGGTGGTTTCCAAATTTGCGCTCCTTCAACAGTGCTATGATGCGTCCTCTTGTACCAGCACAGGTTTGCAGACGCCCCTAATCATCTCAGGATGAGTTGACGCCTGGGACCCGTGAGCGGGTGTGACTCGTGGCACTGAAGTAAGGTATCCCCCTCCCAGCCGTGCACGGAACGCTCGAGCCCTCCACGGCTTTGCCATCTCTGGGTATTGCCAAGCTATTTGTTTTCTGTCGTGGCTGAAACAAACTTAGTGGTTTAAAACAACACAGATCTATTATCTTACAGTCCTGGAGGTCAGGAGTCCTAAAATCACGTGTTGGCAGGACTGCACTCCTTCCTGAGGAATCCCTTGGGGAGAATCTGTTTCCTTTGCTTTTTCCAGCATCTAGAGGCCCCTTTCTCCGTCTTCAAAGTCAGTAGTACAGCATCTTCCAATCTCTCTCTCTCTCTGACCCCTGAAAATAAACCCAAGGAGCCTTTTCACTGGTGGGCAAGAGGCACAGTTGTTTAGGGGTCTTGTTTTGTTTTTTTCTCTTTTTTTTGGTGTATACCTAGGAGACGGTGCAAAGTTCCCAATTTCCTATAAAGTGAGCGAGACCCTGGTAGCTTCGATCTTCAGCGCTTTGTGCTAAATTTTTCCCTCTGCGACCTTCTCTTTACTTAGACAATGTAGCTCTATACTTTTGCACTTCCTACAGAATGAAAGACACAACAACCACCAATATCATATCTTCCTAACAGAAGCAATAAATTCTGTCATTTCACTAATCCTGATCTCACAGGGATAACAAAGAATGCATTTACATTCATCACCACTGACAGGGGCTCATTAGTGGGCTGTGGAAACGCTGCCGGGGGAACCAAAGTGCTCGGCTGGTAGGACGAGCTCGGGAACCACCCGGGTCTGGCCGCCCGCATCACCACCAGCGGAAACAGGACCAAAATTTAAATGATTCTCCACTGAAGTCGGGTCTGAAAACGAGGTCAGACTGAACCCGGAAGCTCTGCGTGGCCACCTCTCATGACAGCGGCTGACAGCTTCTGGAAGCCAGCATCGCTGGCATCTGGCATTGGGGTCTCAGGTGCAGGTGCAGATCTGGGGGTGGGAATCAACCACATCACACCTGAGTTCTGAGGCCAGTAGGAGACAGACCCAGGGTCTGCTGGGAGCATCGGATGGAGAACGTGGCCGGGATCTGAGGGCACAGCTGGGCTTCCTAACATGACCCCCGCCCCCCAAGTCCAGGCCTGGGGACAAGCCAGTTGGGATGCAAGGGTGACACCTTACAATAAACGGCCACACCCCGACAGTGAGGATGGGGAGAACAGCCCAGGCTCCCCAGGAAGAGCCCCAAGTAGGGGCTTAAGTGGGAAGGGAATCCCTCTACACCAGGGGCAAGGGCCCGCCAGCTGGAGGGACAAGGCCCATCGGATGAGTGGTTCTCCTTTCCAGGCAAGAGTGAGGCGGGGTGGAGGCAGCACATCCTCCCAGCACTGCCCTGGATCAGAAGGTTCCTCCCGAATCCTCATGATCAGCGAGGCATGGCCCCGAACGCTTTCAGCCCGTTGACAGAATTTTCTGGGAGGAGGAGACACGGCTGCCTCTCCGCCTTGTGGGACCATCGAGGCAACGCAGATTTCCCTTCTCAGAACCCTGGGCGTGTGTCGGACATCTCTGCTGGGTGTCAGCAGCATTCCTGGGAAGCCCCTGCCAGTGGTTTGCACGTGAAATCCAGAAGTTTCCAGAAATCCTACAAGGTTCAGGGAGCTCATCTAAAGGGGCAGAGATTCTTATAAGGACATAGCGGCCTCATCCCCCGTGGGCAGAGCCCCAGCACCTCGGAGCTGGCGGATGTCACTGCCGGAACATCCTGCCCTGCAGCCAACCTAGTGTAGAAACCGCCCCCCCCCCCCCCCCCCCCCCCCGCCCCGGCTGAAGGCAGGCAGTGCCTTTCCAGGGGCTGGACCTCCTCCACGGGGGACTCTGCCCCGAGCTCCTGGCCGCTGGCTGACTCGGCCTCACCCGCTGCCCATCTCTCTCCGGGATCCCTGCCCTCTCTCTCCACGTGCCTCGGAGCTGCAAGCCCCAGCGACGGGCAGCATGGTTATCACAGTGCATCCCGGCCACCCTCAAGGTCCCTGCCGCCACCAGCAGCTCAGAGAAGAGATCCAGATGCCATCTTTCCCCCAGGGAGCCACTTCCTCTTATTTCCCCCCTGCGGGGCCTCATGATGTGATGTCCCAGCTGTGACCTCTGCAGGCTCCGTTACGTTCTTTTTTGTCCTCACAGGTGCTGCCAACACCTCCTCCTTTCAAATCAGCAAAATTAATAACTGTTGCTTTCCCATCTTTCCACATGTACTGGGCAAAGGACTCCAGGGCCCCGGCTTAGCTCGTCCTAAGTCTCTTGATCCTGGGCTTTTGGCGGCCTCTTTGGATGCTGTGGGGAGATGCTTATTCCGAGCTCCGGAGTTTGAGATACATAGGTCTGACCTCCTAAACTCGTTCCGACTTGAGCCGCGCTCTGTGCGGCGCTCCCAGCGTGGCCACCTCCCCGGCAGCCACGGAGCGGGGCCCGCCCACGACCCGCAGGGCCAGGCCGCACGTCATGCAGGCTTGACGGCCCGGGAGCTCCTGTCGCTTTTATGTGGGTGCAGAACACGTAAAAACTCTTCTGGGCCTTTGGAAAAATAACTTCTCAGCTGCTTGTATGCCATTTAAAGTCCCACGGTCGGTGCTGGTGAGCGCTATGGCCAGTGCGCACTAGGGCCACGCGTGCAGTTGTTCTTGTTTTCTCCCCCAAATCGGGCAAAGGAGCAGCTAGAGCTCAGTTCTGTGCTTCAATCACCGGTGAGTCACAGTGGCCACCACCTCCGAATGATGTGCCCTGAGCCTTCTCTGGGCTTCATTCCTACCAAAGGGCCTTCTGGAAGGTGACATTCCTTAACCCTC